TTATACCGACATCAAATACAATAAAAGCAGGGGTTATATTATGGGGGAAAGACATAAAAAGCAACAAAGAAATAATCTTATAAATGTGTTAGAAACAATCACATGAAAGGAAAAAAAAACATTTGAATACATATCTTAGGGTTCATTTCCCTAACATCAACTTATCTGACCTTTTCTGCTTGACTCAGACATATACTAGATATTGCAAATAAGGGAAACCATGGGACCTATGTTTCTTTTAGCCTGGCTTGCTTCATTTAATATAATTTTTTCCACGCCTTTCCATTTTCTAACAAATGGGGCAATGTCATTCTTTCTGATGGAGGCATAGAATTCTATTGTGTATATATACCACATTTTCTTGATCCATTCATCTACTGAGGGGCATCTGAGTTGGTTCCATATCTTAGCTATAGTAAATAATGCTGCAATAAACATAGTAGTGCTGGTAGCTTTAGTGTGGTCTTGTTTGTGAACATTTGGGTAAATGCCCAAAAGTGGGATTGCTGGGTCATAGGGGAGCTCTATGTGGAGTCTTTGTAGGAACCTCCATATTGCTTTCCAAAGTGGTTGAACAAGTTTACACTCCCACCAACAATGAAGTAAGGTTCCCTTCTGTCCACATCCCCTCCAGCATCTGTTGTTATTAGAGTTCTTGATTTTAGCCATTCTAACTGGAATGAGGTGGTATCTCAATGTTGTTTTGATTTGCATTTCTTTTATTCCTCTGCCAATTTATTGAACACTTGTGTTGTCTTCATTCTAAGCACTTGGCATGTGTGATTTTACCTATTCTTATAGTCATCTTTCTGAAAAATACTGCAATTCCATTACATAAATAAGAAAAGTGAGACTTTAAAGGATTAAATAATCTTCTCCAGATCACATGACTTGTGAGTGATAGAATTAGTGACCTCAACCTGCCTGACCCCAAAGCCTTCATCTTAACCAATGTATGTGCTACATATATCCAATGTGCAGAGGATAAAGAGGTATAATAATAGACAATAATAAAACAATATCAAAACAAGTGAATTAGAACTGAAAGTAAGTTTGCCAGATTTCACAAGGACACAAATTAAAGGACTAATAAAACGAAGAGAGAGGAGATTTATTCTGCATTCAAGAAAACCTAGCAGGGATGATAGGAATCACAGGGATTTCTGTTGTTTTTTTAAAAAATGAACTTAATACTTTTTATTTTTATTATAAAGGTGACATATAGAGTGGTTACAGTTACATAAATCAGATAAACAGTACATTTCTTTTTGAACAATGTCACTCCTTCCCTAGCTCTTCTGAATATCTTACTGCTTTTCTAGGTAGGAAGGTTTCCAATCAAACAATGTGCAAGCAGAAGCTGGTTTACACTCAGAAATGTCCTACGAGAGTGGAGGTTAAAATATATGACCTTATAGTTCCCTAGCTCTGCTTCCTTCAGCAAACATTTCAGAGCAAACAGCAGGGATTCTGAGTTGAAATGATTCAATTAGCAAACATTTTTCATAATGTGAAGTTTTCTTTACCTGTGTATTCCACTTACACATAGTTTCTTAATTATGTACAGTTTTTTAAAAAGGAAACATTATAGGCATATAATAGAAACATGTAGAAAGTAGAGGTATGGCTCAAGTAGTAGAGTGCTAATCTTGTTGAAAAAGCTAATCAGGATATGAGTTCCCAAGTTCAAGTCCCAGTAACAGTGCACATGTGCGTGCCATGTGCACGCACATACACACACAATTAGGATCAAATCAAGAAAATGTGGTAGATATACACAATGGAATTTTACTCATCCATTAGAAAGAATAATATGTCATTTGCAGTGAAATGAATGGACCTAGAACCAATTAGGCTAAGTGAAGTGAGCCAAGCTCAGTAAGAGAAAAATGGCCCATGCTTTCTCACACATGTGGAAGCTAGATCTAAAATACAATGGACAAGATAACTTATACGGAGCTATAGGCATTTACACACAAACACACTGACTATAGGAGTATACACTCCGGGGAGGAACCCAAAGGTGTAACTTCTCTGAACATCTAAAGGGCTATTTACTTTAGGAAATGGAAACATATATTTTGTTGATTTAGGGTTTTGGGGGGAGGTGAGGTAAAAAGGGAACATAGGAATGCAGGAAAAACGTGAGCTAATGTTCTGATTGTAGATAATATACACTATTTAAAAAATGACCTATGCAGTTTGAGGGCAGGGACAGAAGGGACAAAATGGGGGAAAACAAAGGAAAGGAAAGGGTGACACTGTCTAAGAAACATTGCATTCATTATATAACTTGTGGAATTGTAATCCCTTTGTACAACTTCTTTTTTTTAATTGTGAGACTACCGTACAAGGGGAAGATGACGAGTACATTTCTTATCAAGCATTGTTGCCTCCTCATTGTTTCCCCTTCCCATCTCTTCCCATACTCCTCCCTTCCCCCCACCCAACCCTCCCCCCACCCCCAACCAAAGTTGTTAAGTTCGTTTTTTGACATAACGACTTGTACATCTCATTGTTGCAATGGGTCCACCTGTATTCCTAGTTAAACGATTTGTTTTTTTCCCTTCCCCTCCACAATTTATACCAACATCAAATACAGTGAAAGTATGGGTTATACTGTGGGGGAGGGACATACAAAGCAACATAGAAATCATCTTATAAATATGATAGAAACAATCGTATGAAAGGAAAAAAAAACAAACAAAAATTTGAATACTTATCTTGGGGTTCATTCCACTAACATCAACTTCTTAATTATAACAATACATACTGATATTAAAAATAGGACCTTATATGCGCATAAGAAGATTCACAGAAACATTATGTTACAGGAATCTCACCTGACTTGCAGGTTTGTTGCATGGAGTTTAAACCAAGCATGGTTGGAAAAAAAACCCCAATTACTAAAAATCAAAAAATTTCAAAAACAGAAACTTTTAATTCCTACACACATTACACAGCTAGAAGCTTTCTATAAATTCCACATTACCATTAACTCTACTTCAATCACTGTGTAATCTGCTGAATTTTCCTGTCCTTAAATTTGTGAATAAATGTTTCCCAAGAAACAAATGGTGCCTCCAAAGCAAGGGAAAGCAAGGTAAAAATGAATTAGCTTAACTAAAGTGATAAAAATGAAGATTTTTAGATGTGTTGAAAGACAGCCTGTCTTTAGCAGGAGCTCAATGGGAATCATACATGTGTAGTAAGTATTCAAAATAAAGAGACACCAGTGGCACATGCCTGTAATCCTAGCTACTCAGAAGGCTGCGATCTGAGGATCGCAGTTCAAAGCTAGCCAGGACAAGAAAGTCCATGAGACTCTTATCTCCAATAAACTAGTCAGAAAAAGTAAGAAGTGGTACCATGGCTCAAGTGGTAGAGCGCTAGCCTTGAACACAAAGAGGCTCAGGAATTTGAGCACAAAGATGCTCAGGAACAGTGCTCAGGCCCTGAGTTTAAAGCCCCAGGACCAGCAAGAAAAAAAAAAAAAAAAAAAAAAAGTACAGAGCATGAAATAGGATAGCTTTGGAAGTGGCGGTGTGGCTCAAGTGGTAGCGCACTCACCTTGAGCTGCAGAACTGAGGGATAGCGTCAAAGTTCAAGCCCCACAACCAAATAAAAGAAATAGGGTAGCTTTCGGTGAACTGTATTAGAATATTTTTTGTGGCACTAATGTAGCCTACCCCATGTTTTTCAAGTTATAAATGTTCAAACCTAGTAAAGATAAACTGAGTGATTTTAAAATACTGAATTCTGTGTATCCTGACACTTTACAGTTTTTCCTCAAGAGCACCCTCCTTGGAACTATATATACACAGATACCAAAAATCTGCTTTAATATTTTTAAAAAAGGTAACAATCCAGAGAGCCATCTACAAAGGCATGGTTAAAAAAAAAAGGCATGAAACATCATGCAGAAGGAAAAAAATAATTTAGATGGTAAAAGCACATTTAACTTACTTAAGTTCAACTATATGTTTAGGGCAAAAGCAGAATAAATTATAAGTCATAGCCACTATTTGTAAGCCAAATATATCACCTGGTTCTTCTCTGTTCTAATACTTGAAAAACTGACTACCTTAAACATATTGTAGAGATTTACATTATGTTCAAAATCATGAATTGTACAGATGAACCATTAGGAGATTCTAAAGAGAAATTTCTATTCATTATAAATACATTATGAACAGTGGTAAAGTATATAGTATAAGCCATTAGTCTCTTTCCTCCCTTCTTAACTTTAATGCAAATATTTTTTTAATCTAACCCCATTTAAAATGTAATTCTATTGTACTGTCAAGACAAAGATGAGATGCAATAGTAAATATTAATATTCATGAAGCAGTTTCTTTGCACCAAACCCTGCTATAAAAACTTCAAGTACATTATTCTATGTAAGGCTTACAAAAGACTTGTGGGACAGATACATCTCCAATTTTAGACTTCAAGACACGAATCACAAAAAGATTACTGACAACCTCAACATGATGGGATTTTGCTGCATTTTAGTAAACTGTTATTCCTTTACAATCCTTTAATCTTAAGAAAGTATTTTTACACCATTTTCACTTTTTCCTCCCAAGAGGCTCTAGTTGTAAACATCACGACTCTCCAAACATCTTCTCCCAGAGAGGTGTGCTCCAGGAAAGTCTGAGTGGAATCTCTCTTTTTCAGATGCACAATAATAATGTAACAGTGAACATCTACACAGGAAAATGAGGCTTAACATGGCATTTGGAAAAGGCCCAGTGAGCCCACCTATCATTCACCCCTCCCCATGCAGTCCAAAATGAAGACAAAAGGAAGTCTGAAAGATTGAAAGAGGGACTAGAGACTACCATAGGCTGCCTTTAATCCTCTACGAGATCAATAGCAAAGTACAGGTAAATGCACAACAAATTTTGACTCCAGTTTTTAATTCATTTACAATAAGTTCTAAGTTCTTCTATATATACCATTCAAGTATTTGTTCAAAAACTAAGTTATTACCATACCTGGTTATTTCTTCTTTCAGTTTACATGGATCATCAGCATAGAATTTGATACCAAAATACAAAGTATATGGAGGCCCAGCTAAAATAAGAAATAGAAGTTAATTACAATTCACAATATGGTCAAAATAGTGTCTTAACATTATATAACTATTAAGATTTGCACTATGGAAAGGGTGGGGGAAAGAGTGGGGGAAAAGAATGGGGGGAAAGGGGTGGATGAGAATGTTAAAAGAAGCAGCTCTGATCAAGAGACGTTATATTCATAAATTTCTTTGTTGAATGGTAATGCCTCTGTACAACTAAAGAAAAAAATTTAAATGTTGGGAAAAAAGAATTGCACTAAGAATTTCTAAAGACAAGCAGACATAGTGACAAAATCAGCATCTATGAACAGACAATACAGGGACAAGACAGAATGATGCTGGCTCTTGTATCTGATTGATGAGACCACACAATTTTTTGTTTACTTCCCACTAATTGCAATTTAGTGAGAGATGTTTTTTTCCATAATGAAGAAGAGTAGTGACAAACTAAGTATACTATTTTTTAAAACCATTTGCCTATAATTTCAATTAAGAAAATTTTTCTAAAAAAACATTTTATTAGTATCTTATAGTTGTATAAGGGGGGGTCATTGTAATATTTTATACATGTAAAGTTTTTTCATTCTTAAAAAACTTCTTTGTAAAACTCTGGAAACAAATATTTATCGTCAAGTGGATCATCAACCTGATGGTGGATAAGTCAACTAAGTCATAAGTCATCATAGGCCGGAGGAATGATAACATGCAAGTATTTAACCACACAGAGGGACAGCTGTTTGGTCTATGTTCTCAAGTGCAGAAATAGAATTTATTTTGTGAAAAAGGATAATATTAATATATGTTGTTGTTTTTCCTGAAGGAATACACAGCAATTATAAGTAAGGGCTAACTTTGAGCACAGTGATTAATAAACTTTCTTTTTTTTAAACTGATTAGTTAGAACTTACAATGGATACCCTTTCTCTGTGTGTGTGTGTGTGTGTGTGTGTACACAGGGGTACAAGTTCTGGGGCTTGAATTTAGTTGCTCATATTGTTGCTTGACTTTCTTCTTTTTTAATATTTTTTTAATTGTAAAACTAGTGTACACAGGGGTTAGTTACATGAGTAAGATAATGAGTACATTTACTATCAAGCATTGTTACCTCCTCCTTTGTTTTTCCCCCACCATCCCTTCTCTCCCCACCTCCCCAGCTCTTCCCTCCCTCCCCCCCACAAGCTGTAAAGTTCATTTTCAATATAGTGTCTCGTATATCTCATGGTTACAATGGGTCAACCTGGATCCCTATTTAAGCATTTTGTTTTTCCCTTCCCCTCCCCAAATTAGAAAAGTGTATATACAAGATGCAGGGCACCAGAATCAAAAACAGTGAAAACAGGGGTTATACCATGAGGGAAGAACATACCAAAGAAACAAAAAAAAAAAAATCACATAGTACATTATAAGTACATTAAAAACAATACAAGAAAGAAAAAAAACACTTATGTCCCTGTCTTGGGGTTCATTTCAGTTAACATCATCTTATATGGTCATATGTACATAGCTTTTGACCTTTTGTGCTTGTCCTAGACTTATACAAGTTATTGCAAATATGGGAAACCATGGGACCTATGTTTCTTGGGGCCTGGCTTACTTCACTTAATATAATTTTTTTCTAAGTCTTTCCATTTCCTAAAAAATGGGGCAATGTCATTCTTTCTGATGGAGGCATAGAATTCATATATACATATATATGTATGTGTATGTGTATGTATGTATGTGTATATGTGTGTGTGTGTGTGTGTGTATATATATATACACCTGTTGCTTGACTTTCTTGCTCACAGCTGATGCTCTACCACTTGAGCCATACATCCAGTCAATCATTTCCTAGTAAATTGGAGATGAAGTCTCTTAGATTTTTCAGCTGTAAGTAGCCTTACACCTCAATCTATGATCTCAGCCTCCCAAAATAAGTAGGGTTACAGACATGAGCACCAGTGCCAAGTTCATAGATATCTTTTTTAAGAGAAAAAAATCATCAGTGAAGCTATGTGATAGGATTAAACAATAATTCCTTCATTTTGAAACTTTTCTACATTAAAAATATATTCTTGTAACAGAATAGGAAATTTTTAATTAAGTTTTTATTGTGAAAATACTATACAGAGGGGTTACAGTTACATGAACAAGATAATGAGTACATTTCTTATCCAGCATTTTTGTCTCCTCCTTTGTTTTTCCCCTACCATCCCGTCCCTCCCACCTCCTCAACTACACCAACCCCCGCCACCCTTCCCCCTCCTAAATTGTAAAGTTCATTTTTCGACATAGTATCTTAATATCTCATTGTTGCAATGGGTCAATCTGTATCCTTATTTAAACATTTTGTTTTTTCCCTTCCCCTCCCCAAATTATACCACCATCAAATACAGTGAAAACAGGGGTTATACCATGGGGGAGGGACATACAAAGCAACAAAAAAAAAATCACATGGTACATTATAAATACGTTAGAAACAATAGCAAGGAAGAAAAAAACAGTTGTGTCCTTATCTTGAGGTTCATTTTGCTTAACATCATCTAATCTGACCTTTTCTGCTTGCCCCAGACATATACTAGTTATTGCAAATAAGGGAAACCATGGGACCTATGTTTCTTTGGGCCTGGCTAATTTCACTTAATATAATTTTCTTCAAGTCTTTCCATTTTCTCACAAATGGGAGTAATGTTAGTCTTTCTGCTGGAGGCATAGAATTCCATTGTGTATATAGACCACATTTTCTTGATCCCTTCATCTATTGAGGGGCATCTGGGTTGGTTCCATATCTTAGCTATGGTAAATAATGCTGCAATAAACATAGTTGTGCTGGCAGCTTTAGTATGGTCCTATTTGTGATCATTTGGGTAAATGCCCAAAAGTGGGATTGCTGCATCATAGGGAACCTCCATACTGCTTTCCAAAGTGGTTGAACAAGTTTACACTCCCACCAACAATGCAGTAGGGTTCCCTTTTGGCCACATGCCCTCCAGCATCTGTTTTTATTAGAGTTCTTATTCTAGCCATTCTAACTGGGTTGAGGTGAAATCTCAATGTTGTTTTGATTTGCATTTCTTTTATGGCTAGAGAGGTTGAGCATTTCTTCATGTGTCTATAGGCCATTCTTCAGAATAGCAATTTTTTTCATCTCATTAGTCTTTCATAAACAGAAGAACTAAGTCCATAAATAACAAAAACAAAATTAAAACTTCGTAAATAAAGCCTGGAATTATACATATGTGGGTAAACATAAAATAAAGTATTAAATACAATGTTCAGGACAACAGTTCCTTGATGGCAACTAATTTCCTTTACACTTTTACTAAAAACATTTTATTTCTGAGAACATGAATGTGACCTGCGCAATTTTTAGAACTGTACTTCCAAGTTAGCAATAACTATATCTAACATAATCTGTTTGAAAGGGAGCTTTTTTAACAACACACCGATAGGCAGTCACAATTTAGTTCTGAGGGTTTTCATTTCTCAGCCAAAGTTTTCCCTATTAATAATGTTTATAAGGTTAAGAATGCAGCCGGACGCCAGTGGCTCACACCTATAATCCAAGCGAAAAAGGAGGGTAAGATGTGAGGATTTTGGTTCAAAGATAGCCCAAGCAGGAAAGTCTGTGAGACTCTTATCTCCAATTAACCACCAAAAGGCCAGAAGTATAGCTGTAGCTCAACTGGTAGAATGCTAGCCTTGAGCAAAAAAGCTCAAGGACAGTGCCCAAGCCCTGAGTTCAAGCCCCAGAACCAGGACCAGCACACAAACAAAAAGAATGCATTTTAGGGTAAGTATCTTATGCTTGGTAACTCATAAAGTATCTCTGATATAGTCTTATTTCTAAGAAATAAAAGACACAAATTTAGAGGAACAGAAACTAGAACAAGTAATGTATTTATAATAAACTAATTTTATTTATTATTATTATTATTATTACATACACATGCTTATGTTGACAATCTCCCCAAGTCATGTTCCCAGCACACATTGAGTGCCAGCCCTTCTCTTTAATTGATGCCTTCTTGAGTAAGGAACTTCTTATGCAAGTGCAATTTGAAACAAAATATTAAACACCTTGCTCTAATTTTTTATCCTGGGAGTTGCTGCCATTGGTTTGATCTTTATATTTATTTTACCACTGTGTGAATATTTCTGATAAATATACCTCTATCCCAGAACATAGATGTCAAGGAGGATAGACTATTAAATATTTAGAAGATGCAGGAAGTCCATGCTGGGCTGATCCCGTCAAGTCAATCAAGCTCTGTGATCCAGAGCAGATGGAGCCTCTTGTGCCTGCAGGCAGCAGGGGTTGGCACTTAGGGGGCGGGGACATGCACAGATGCTGCAGAAACACTGCACAAAGGCAAGAGGTCTCCTAGCCTCCAGAGCTGCTTTTATTCTCTGCAACATGGCAGATTACAGCCTATTCACCAAACACCATTTCAAATGGGCTCAGTGATGAGCAGGTAAGCAGAAGTTTGAAAAAAATACAAAATGAAAAATATTCAGTGTGGGTTTAATTTTTTTAATAACTTTCAACTCAACTGAACCATTTACCACTCACATACCAAGTGGCTTGTGTATATATAAACTACCGTTGTCATCTGATAGCATTCAATAATGAGTGAAAGTGTTTCATAAACATTTGATTTTGAAAGACAACCTGGTTAACAGCGAAGCTCCAAGAAATTAAGAAACTTGTTTAAAATTTCAGAAGTGAAGTTAGGCCCAAAGAGACAAAGGACCATGTTTTCCCTTATATGTGGAACTAGATTTAGCTTACAAACTCATAAGTAAATATGCTGGGTGGTATGTAAATATATATAAATGGTTTAACTGATTCAAAGGAGATCTCGAATAGTGTAATACCTTAGAAAGCCAAAATCAAAGTTCAGCAAAATAAAACGTCAGGAAGTAGGAACTCAAAGGAGTTGGTATGGGGTCAAGAAAAAAGAGGTTGATGAATGAAGAGGAGAAGAGCAGGAGAATGCAATCAAGAAAACAATGTATATCTCACAAAATTAAGAAGAACAAGGAAAGGAGTAGAAAGGGGAGGGATGGTTGAGAATGCTGAAAGACATTGATCAAGATACATTGTATTTGTATTAACTAGTATGTGTCTAGGACAAGCAGAAAAGGTCAAAAGCTACACACATATGACCATATAAGATGATGCTAAGCAAAATGAACCCCAAGACAGAGACACAAGTGGTTTTTTTCTTTCTTGCTATTGTTTTTAATATACTTATAACGTACTATGTGATTTTTTTTTTGTTTCTTTGGTATGTTCCTCCCCCACCATATAATCCCTGTTTACACTGTATTTAATTCGGGTGCCCTGCATCTTGTATATACACTTTTCTAATTTGAGGAGGGGAAGGGAAAAAAAAAATGCTCAAATAGGGATACAGGTTGACCCATTGTAACAATAAGACACTGTGTTGAATACGAACTTTACAACTTGTGGGGGAGGGAGGGGAGGAGGGGTTGAGGAGGTGAGGAGGGAACGGATGGTGGGGGAAAAACAGAGGAGGTAACAATGCTTGATAGGAAATGTACTCATTATCTTACTCATGTAACTGTAACCCCTCTATACACTATTTTTTACAATAAAAAACATATTTTTTAAAAAGATATATTGTATTTATAAACTGCTTTGTTAAATGTCAACTCCTTTGTACAACTACTTAAAGGTAATAATACTAAAAAAAAATAAGCGGAGTGCCAATGGTTCATGTTACTGGAATCTGAGGACTGAAATTCAAAGCCAGCCCAGACAGAAAAGTCTGTGAGGCTCTTATCTCGAAGAACCACCAAAAGGGCAGAAGTAGAGATATGGTTCAAGTGGTAGAGTTCTAGCCTTGAGCAAAAGGAGGTCAGGGACAGCATGGAGGTCCAGAGTTCAAGCGCCAGGACCAGCAAAAACAAACAAACAAACTATAAACTAACAAAAAAAGAAGCTAGACATTTCCGTCCTAGTATATTGGGCCCCTTAGGGAAAACAAGAGAAAGTACAGAGTGAGCAAACACATCATCTGTGCCATTCTGCTAGAGCAATCAGAGCCTAGAAAAATGATTAGGGGCAAGAATATATCGGGCCAGATACTTTTGGCTTCCTAGTTTAAGACTATAAAAACCAGTTGCTGATTAAGCAAATTATTAAATTATTATTAAGTCAATGTCTTTCTACAGAATCAACATTAAAGAAAAAAAACGCAAAATAAAGCTAATATAGTTTTATCTTAACAAAAAGTCAGAAACTGGGAGTGGCCTATATCTGACTTTTATGAAGATTAATTTCCAGTCTTTAAATGATAATAATGAACTTCTATTTCATTTAAGGATAAATACATCAAGACTTGGCTACAGCAATGTTCTGTTGTTCTTACAGATATTGCTCCTGCCAACTCTACTGTAGATCCATGTTTCTTCACTATTCATCAGATTATTTTTATTGTCAAAGTGATGTACAGAGGGGTTCAGACTTTTAAGAGATGGAATACACACATTCTTGCATGATTCTGTTTCTTTAATTGTGATAGTGTTGTTTGTGTTCTGGTACTAAGGCTTGAACTCAGACTCCAAAGCTCTTGTTTGCTTTTTTGTTCATACCTGGTACTCTCACTTGAGCAACATTTGCACTTCTAACTTCTTGCTGAATAATTCTCATGGACTTTGCTGCGTGTGCTGGCTTTGAACCATGATCCACAGATTTCAATCCCCTGAATAGCTAGAATTATAGCAATGTGGACCACCAGCGCCCAGCCAATTGTGATAGTGTTTTATTCCTATTATACATCAAATATTTAACAATATCATATTTTGGGGGGGGAAGCCCTTTAGAGTACGATTTGAATATTTTACAGTAGGTAGACTTGAAGTGTGTGCAGGTAGGTTTTTAATAATGCATCTTAAAATAATTTACTTTATACTTTAATAGAAAGCTCTACTTTTTTCTTATAGGAGAAACCTAAGTATAATTTAAAATAAGCATTCCTGAGATTTTTTTAACTTTCCATCTGGTATTTTTTAAACTGGTTTAAAGGGGTTGTAACTATAATTTGCAAACTCCAGTGGTTTATACCACAGAGGTGGAAGAAATGAAAGATGAATGGGATGGTGATGTTTGAGAAGCACAGCTTGTTTCTGATGGGTTTGCAAGTCCTGGCTTCCCACTCCCTTCTGAAGCATGGCTGCAGTGCTAAGCTTCACACAACCAGTGTTACCAACTCAGGCACTCAAAAATGCTGACTCCACTCAGGGCCTCTGGGTTCTGATTAACATTAATGCACACATCTAAACACAATGGCTTCGTGAAACAGAGTTTCAGTTTGGGACAATGAAAAACTTAGTATATGGATGAGGTGATGGTTGCACAATAATGTGAATGTCAATTTACACAAGGATGGTTAAAATGGTCAGTTTTACATGATGTATATTTTATCATAATTAAAAGAAACTACTTTTAAAGTACTATTCTTTTATATACTTAAGAAATGTGTTTGTATGGTTGTGTGTATATGTGCATATCATAAATTTAAAAACTCTGAAATTAAGATTTAAGGAATACATAATTAATTATATTGAGTAAATTCATACTGATAAGCACTAGCTAAAGCCTGACAATGGATGCTTGTGCACTCTTGCATTCTCTCTCTTCCCCTCTCCACTCCTCCCATAATAGTAATTTTTTAAATTACAAGGGCACCCCTTAATAACTTCACAAACTGAAACTGAGTGGCATGAATAACAAAACCACTCTATAACCCAAGACATTTTTTTCAAAGCTGAGAACTCATCTTCTTTATTTAAAAAATCTATGCTTCTCTGCTTTTTCTGTTTGAAGGCTAAATGTTAAAGACATGAGTAGAGAAAAATCAAGGGAAGATGTAATCACTAAAATAAGTTGAATATAATATTAAGATCTGCTCAAAGCTGGACATGGCAGCCTATGCCTAAGCCTACCTTCTTGGAAGGTGGAAATCAGAGGATCATGAGGTCAAGGTGAGCCCAGGCAAAGTTAGTGAGACTTTCTCTCAAAGACAAATAAAAACAAAAGGCTGAGGCATAGTTCAGGGCCTAGCATATGCAAAGTCCTGAGAAGTCCTGAGTTCTATCCCCAATAGATAAAGAAACATTTAATAAATCTACTGAGCGTGTGATTAAAGTAAAACTGACTCAGAATTTGGAGCAGGCTGGCAATGCATACAACACCCATTCTCATGTGTTAGCACTCCAGTACTGGTTCTTCCTCTCTAATATGAAAGTTTGTTTCTGCACCCAACTACACATGGGTATTTTATCACTTTCAAGCCACCCTTTAACAAAATTAAAATTAAATACCTACTGTTGATCAGTTCCTTGTGTTCAGCAAGCGTTTTTGCAGGATCCAGCCAATACTAAATGAGGGGGGGGAAAAGAGGTAATTATACAAACTAGTTGCTTGTCATTGACCTTTACCAAAAGAATATTTGCAAAATAATATTTAAGTGACATTTAAGTACTTACTAAGTAAAAGACTTTATTTACCATATGTATTTACAAAAACATACAGATGATTATTATTGAAGTATGAAGGTCATTCTTGATCATTGCCTTTAGCTAGTCTAAGATATTGGTTTATTAACTCAAACTGATCTTCAGTGAATATAATTTCAAGTATGAATGAGAGAATTCTAGACTCTGGGGAGAAATTTTCTTTTGTGTCACTTTTGTGACATAAAAATCAATAAAAGAAAGAGAAGATACAAGTCTTCAGATTCATCTCTTCCACTGTAAGAGAAACAGGAAGAAGCCACAGAAGCACAGAGAAAGTACCAAGAGTGAAAGTACACAGTGAAAGGCTCTGAGGGGGTGCTCTAGAGGACCTGAGGTGTCCAGAGACAAAAATCCTCTTCACTGCTTTCCTAAATAAATATGGGAAACCCCAAGAAACAAGCTACCCAGTTTCCACATTCTCATGTTCCTGTGTAAAGAGTGATTCTCACAGCAGGGAAAACAGAGGAGTGGCCTCCCCCAAGCCACCTCAATCCCACAATTCTCACATTAGCCCATTGAAATCATTCTCACACAGTCTGACAGTCCTAGTCAGGAATAAGTACTGCAAAAGAAGTCCTAAAGAACTTGCCTTCCTGGTTCTCCCTTCCTTTCTTCTGAATTAAGGGCAGAAATTATTGTTCTGTCGGGTCAAAGCAGCAGTACTTATAAATAGTTCTAATACTTTATTCAATCCCTTTACCTTTTATTCCTAATAACACAAAACAAAAATTCATACTAAGTGTACATCCTAACTCATTTTAACTACAGCCCTACACTTTCTTTGTATATGTAACTGTAACTATCTATCACTCAAATGGCTATTGCAATCTTCCAATGCTGACAAATTGAAGTAAACATTCTATACAAATGTATCCATTTGAACACAATGTTCACTGTACTGGTGTTCAACCTTTCTTGTGATGATGCACTAACTTCTGCAACAGCAAAGGTATCTGAAGCATGGGCTGTAGTCAGGGAAGTGCTTATGTATTCCACAATGACTAAAAGATATGGTTTTAATGTTAAAATAGAGCTTCATAGGAAAACTGGCTTACTCACACAGAGCTAAATCAACCTAAATATTAAGTTGTATGACACAGAGAAGACTAATTTCTCGGTGTACATACAAGTAAGGGTTCTTCCCACAAAATAAAAACATTAGAACCAGACAGTGGTGCCTCAACGCATGTCTGTCTTTCCTTCCTTCCTTCCTTCCTTCCTTCCTTCCTTCCTTCCTTCCTTCCTTCCCTTCTTTCTTTCTTTCTTTCTTGGTCAGTCATGGGGCTTGAACTCTGGGCTTGGGCACTGTCCCTGAGCTCTTCAGCTCAAGGCAAGTGCTCTACCATTTGAACCACAGCACCACTTCCAGTTTTCTAGTGGTTTATTGGAGATAAGAGTCTCATGGACTTTCCTGTCCCTCCTGGTTTTGAACCGAGATCCTCAGATCTCAGCCTCCTGAGTAGCCAGGATTACAGGCGTGACCACTGATGCCCGGCTCACACATGTATTTCTAGCCACTCAAGAGGCTGACATCTAAGGATCATGGTTCAAAGCCTGCCTGGGCAAGAAAGTCTGTGAGAGTCTCTTTTTATTGGGGGGGGGCTTTATTTTATTTATTTTTAATTGCTATTGTAAAGTTGATATACAAAAAGGCTATAGTTACATGAATCAGGTAATGAGAGACTCTTATCTCCAATTAACCACCAGAAAACTGGAAGTGTCACTATGGCTCAAAGTGGCAGAGCACTAGCCTTGAGCAAAAAAGCTCAGGAGAGCACCTAGGCCCTGTGGTCAAGCCCCATGGCCAACAAAAAAAAAGAAAAAAAAGAAAAAAGAAACATTAGGTAGATGGACTATTTCTTATCATTTATGTTAAATAAAAAGGTTTAGCTAGGGGCTGGGAAGTGGCTCAGTGGTAGAGTGCTTGCTTTGCATGCATGAGGCCCTGGGTTCGATTCCTCAGCACCACATAAGCAGAAAAAGCCAGAAGTGGTGCTGTGGCTCAAGTGGTAGAACACTAGCCATGAGCTGAAGAGCTGAGACTCAGAGTTCAGGACCCACGACCGACCAAAAACAAAAAAAAAAAGTTTAGCTATACTCATATTTCTTCAAAGATGAGAAATACCAAAGGGAACAAACATAAATACCAATTAACACTTGTATTAGATTTCTATTACTGCATAATTGTCACAACCCCCATTTATGATCTCAGAGTTCAGCAGATACATAGGTCAGCTGGTTTCCTTTCTTCTTGATCAAGGTACAAGCTAACAGCAACTTGAAGGGCTGTTCAGCAAATATATAGGGGACTTAAAAATGGGATATTAGAGCTTCTCCAGCTTTTCCCCAGATGTCAAAGCTATCACAATACTGGGACTTAGTTTCAGGCCTTATACCACATTTACACACTGTACTCAACTCAAAAAGTACTTTAGCAAGAAAAGAAGAAAGGGTAGAGGCCTCTGGTCATAATAAGCTGTCTAATCTTGTCTTGAAACTACAAAGGAACAAATTAAAGGACTTTAAAAGGCTACCTAATCTATATTAATGTCATAATATGATATACAAATATGTGCACATACTAGGTCACTTTTCTTTTTCTGTCTCCAGAATTTTTTTTCAAACATTGAAAAAGCCAGGATAATAAGAAGGAAGCATGAGGCTCACAGGAATAGGAAAAACTGGTTTAGCCTATCAGAAAAAAAACACATTAATAACATAATAACACCATTTTAAAATAAATTTCCTTTCATGAGTAATTAATCTGTGAGGTTAGAAAATGTAATGAAGTTTCTGAGATGAATTAGAAATTACAATTTTGCAACAAGTAAAAGAGGCAAGATTCAAAGGCCATTCAATCAATTCACTGCACATCAGATATGCTAAACATCAATCTGGAGCTTGCCACACACAAATCTCATTTGATCAACGTGGAAACCAGGGTTACAGAGGTAAGACAATGATAAATGCTCCAGAACACAAATAATAAACACAAGCTATCAGGCTTCCTAAACCAAGATCTTGAAATGCAAAATCCACTTATGTTCAACCAAGGAAAAGATATGACCTTGGAACCAAAGTAGCCATACAATGACAGCTCTTGTCATCACTCATTATCAACGAGCAATCAAATATAACACATGTCTGATCTTAGTGAAACACATCATGCTGATGCTTTATAACCTAAAAGGAAAAAGAGAAGAATTCAACTATGAATACAATATCCCAGCTTTAAGGACAACATTCAGATTACTAGTCATGGGGGCAACAATCCTCAAAAGGTAGGCTCCAAAACTAAGATATCATTCATTCATTCATTTAACATGATACTTCATTTGTTCACTTTAACATGCCTCAAAAACTCCTTATATATATAGTATTTATATATCTTTTCAGGCACCATCCTGGGGATCCTTTGAATTACTTACAGTCCAATAGGAGACATACAAACATATACATATGATACCATGTGGTAAGCTAAGCAATAATGTATATACTGTGAATACATAAAGGATTATAAAATTATAACAAAGAAAATCAAGTCTGCAGAGTGAGTGTAAGAAGACTTCACAGAAGAGAAAACCATTGATCAATGTATTTATGAAAAAAAATCCTCAAATTAAATAAACAGAGGCAGGTGCCAGTGGCTTGCATTTATAATCCTAGCAGGAGGATGAGATATGAGAATCCTGGTTCAAAACCAACCAGGAAAGTCCATAAAACTCTATTTGTATAAAGCACATTCTTATCACCAAAACTGCTCTGTAAATTAGCCTATTTTTAAGTTTCAATATAGAATTTAATATCCCAACTCCTTTATAAGTGAGCACTACACTGAAATCATTATTGCCCAATACTTAACAATACTCAGCTAAGAAATCAATATTCACAAAGGATGCTATAGTTTGGGCATGGTTTGTTCCCTCCTGAACTCCTGTTGAAGTGGTCCCCAATATAACAACACTGAGAAAAAGTAGGACCCCAATATAGCAACACTGAGAAAAAGTAGAATATATAAATATAATATATATAAATATATATAAAAAGTGGTCCCCAATATAATAACACTGAGAAAAAGTATGACCATTAAGAGGTGATAGACGTGCTTATGAATGAATTCACACTGCTCTTATTTATAACCTCAGGTTATTGTGAAACAAAACCACCACTCTAACTCCCATTTGACCACTACTGTTATCTGATACAAGGTCCCTGCCAGGTGCACTTTCCTGACCTCAGACTTCAGCTTCTAGAACTAGGAGCCAAAATGTATCTGTATTCTTTTTAACTTATTCAGTCTCAGATATTCTATCATAATAAACAACACTGAGCAAATTAGAGAAAAAAGCTATCTAGCCTTGTCATCTGTCCAGGGTATAGGGAAAGAAATCAACAAAAATCCCAATACTATAACAGGTGTTGCTGGTCATCAGAGAATGGCATTTTTGGATTACACTTGATGTGCAACCATCTTGCCAACCCAGATGATTATAAGGAGAAATAGCATGTTCTCTGAACATTCAAGCTATCCATTTTCTAAGAAAATCATTCAACAATTTTTCCCTCATCTTTTTTTCTTTCTTGTAAACATACATGCTATAGTTTATATATATATATATATATATATATATATATATATATATATATATATATTCACAAGCTGGATTAGATCCTATTCTGTAGGAAAATAACAATAAATAGAAACACACTGTTTTCTCATTGTGCTTCCTAACATTCTACCTAACACAGGAGGGTTAAAACACTGTATCTCAAATACTCAATCACTAAGGAGTCATGATCACAATTCTCTCTTTCTGACCCTTTGCCTAGGTATAAGAGGAAAGTAGTTAGATATCCCTTC